CTTCTTCTTCTTCTTCTTCTTCTTCTTCTTCTTCTTCTTCTTCTTCTTCTTCTTCTTCTTCTTCTTCTTCTTCTTCTTCTTCTTCTTCTTCTTCTTCTCATTATTATCTTTTAATCAACACTAATTTATCATCAGTATTGTTGTCATTATTATATTACTCAGAAAACATGCTTTAAGAAAAAAAAAAGCTCGTGTTCCATAACCAGCAACTAAAACAAGCCCTTCTCAAAAGAAATAATATAATAGTTTTCCTGTGACTTGTCACGTGTTCTTTTTCTGATTTCTTCTCCCACAGGGGTCACAGTGGTTGGAAATAGCCTGTATTTCATCATCCTGACAAGGCATTTATTAAACCAACTCTCTCTCTCTCTCTCTCTCTCTCTCTCTCTCTCTCTCTCTCTCTCTCTCTCCATCCACTCTCCTCTCCTTTTCTCTTTCTTCCCCTCCCCCTTTTTCCATTTATCCCCCCCTCTCTCTCCTCTTCTTTCTCCCATTACCTCTCTGCCCTCTTCCTCCCCCACTCTCTTCGTGAGTGGCCGAGGAGTGCTCTGGTGTGGTCTGCTCTTACGTTACTTTTCTATCAAACATGTATCATAATCCTCCTTTTATATTTGTATATATTACTATCTCGTACATCTTCTGCACTTAAATGACACAATTGTGTCTTGAAAGTACCATAAAACTCTTACGAAAAAACACTCTCTTCCCCTCACAAACCTCCCCCTCCCCTTCTCTTCTCTCTCTCTCTCTCCTTCTCCCCTTTCTCTCTCTCTCTCTCTCTCTCTCTCTCTCTCTCTCTCTCTCTCTCTCTCTCTCTCTCTCTCTCTCTCTCTCTCTCTCTCCCCACCCCACCATACCCCTCTTTCTACCTCGTCTCTACCTCCCCTCCCTCCCCTCCATTCCCAATCTCTCTACCCCCCTCCCTCTCCCTTCTCTTGCACCTCATTTATGTCATTCAATGTCCATGCATTCCCACCACGCTGTTATATTATAACTTAATACATTATCCAACAAGGCTTACCGAATACACAACACAATAGTTCTGCCATAGGAGCTATCTTCTACACCCAGTACATTCCTTAAGACACGTGTCTTCTGCCTACACATCACCACCGCTACTGAGAAAATCACGAACCCATCACGCGGTCGATGCCCTTTTTTTCAGAGATCTTAGTAGTTTTTTCCTTCTACTTATCTTGCACATAAGTGCACAAATCAAGCTGTTTACATACAGAAAGAGAGTAGCACAACCCCCCCCCCAAAAAAAAAAACAAACAAAAAAAAACCCACAAAAAAACAACAACACAAAAAACCCCACAACACCCATACAAAAACAAAACTGGAAAAAAAAACTCTAGGTCACGAAGAAGTATGATTTCCGGGAAGGTTCAATTTTTTAACCAATTACGTCATCAGACTGCACGTACGTGCAGTTATAAGACCTCAGTTCAGAAACTTAAGACATTAAGCGGCTCGGTTCGCAGTCTGTCAAGACTGGAATCTGGGAAAAGTTTTGGTCATTTTTCATTCTAGGATGTTTGAAGAGGTTTGTTTGTTTTTTTGTTTTCTGTGGGTTTTTTTTTTTTTTGCTGTTTGTTTGTATTCCGGCTCCCATTTTTGTCATCTTAGAGATAGGTGTAATATCTAACTCGTTATAGTTTCCAAGACTCAAAAAGACAGTCTTTCCTGTGCAAACAAAAAAAACCCAAACAAACAGCAAACAAACAAAGAGACAAACAGACAGACAGACCCCAACCAAACAAACAAACAGCCCAAATGGCGGATGCACTAATAGCCACAGACGTTTGTTCAGCAATAGAAAATCTGAAGTCCAAACTTGAATGACGTCTTGCGTTTCGGCCGGGGGTTGTTATGTGTGGGTTATTTTTCCTTCTTTGTGTGTTTGTTTTTTTTATCTGTCTGTTTGTTTGTTTGGTTTTTTTTTTTTTTTTTAGCCTTTCCGTCTCTGACCTATCTCCTGTGTGTAGCGGATGAAGGCAGTGCTTGCCAACCTGACAATACCGACCACATTAATATTATGCTGTTGAAGCGCCGTAAAACTCTTAACTAAAACAAAATCAGACAGTACCGAATATTGGGCGATACGTGGCATTTTGTCTCTTAAATGTGGCGGAAATGGACGCTGGCTATACAAAGGTTGAGCGATCCATGAGGGTGGCATCGGTGGCCTCGTGGTTGGGCTATCAGACCTATAACCGTGAGATTGCAAATTCTGGGGTTCGAGCCTCAGTTCGGCCCGACGTTGTGTTCTTGGGAAAGACACTTTACATGAATTTCCCATTTGGCCCTGTCCTCTCGGAGATGGACATTAAACTCTAAGGTCCCGCCTCTTAAATATCCTAATAGTGTTGATTGGTGCGTTAAACCTATACTATTTCACATTTTTAAGCCTTGAGCTAAGAGCTCATTTTCTTGGAAATTACGTATTCTGTGCCGAATATAGGATGCATCTCGAACAAAGCGCAACACATTTTTAAAAAAATTAATAAAACGAGGAAAACCAGCGTTTATAGCGGGTAGACACTTCGCTGAAGCACCCAGGGGACCCGAGTTTGATTCTCGAGTGGGGAGAACTTTCTCTCGAAATGTTGGGTCTTTCTGCAGTAAAATTGTATCCCTTTCAACCTGAGTTGGCCCTGTGCTCTTTTTTTTTTTTTTTTTTTGGTTGATTGGGGCGTAGAAAAAAACCCCCACATGCATACATTAAAAAAAAAAATCAAACATTAAAAACCCATCCCACACACTCAACTCAACTCGCCATTCTTCCTTCCAGATCAGCCCTGACAACTCGCGCCATGACGTGCTCGTGGAGGCCAAGGTCAGCCAGAAGGTTGTGCAGCCTCTGTCTCCTAGCAACGACAACAACAACAACAAACCATCTCACGACGACGAGAATGCGGCACCAAGGTACTCACGCACGGAGGTGGCGGAGCACTGTCATTACGACTCCTGCTGGATCGTGGTCAACAATAAAGTCTATGACGTCACACGATTTCTCAGACAGGTGGGCACAATACTGTTGATAATAATAATGATATGATAATAATAATAATAATAATAATAATAATAATAATAATAATAATAATAATAAT